TTTGTTGTTCTTTTCGCATAAATGCTTTAGAATGAAATGGTGTTGATAATAAATATACATTTGCACTATAGTTCATTTTATGAATCTTGAATTGCATACAGACTTTGGTTACAGATTTCATGAAACTTACTTGGCAGTTATATACAGTATTTGGCTTATAATTTTTGCCCCGTTAAAACAATAAACTGCAACCTTTCAGCAGTTGGTCTATTTAAGTCTGTCATTTAAAAGTTTCACAGATAATGTATAAATTCTGCCTTTGAATTTCTTTAAATGTTCTCTGAGACTCGCCAGCCAAAAGCATGGAATCACCGTTAAGATTATGATATTCTTGGATGTGACACCATGTATGAATAGTGCTCGTACATACCAGCCTTGATATTGGTACCTAACTACTAAACCTCATGGTATAAAAGTGATGTGTGTCCTAAACAAAAGCAACAGGAATGACCACATAAAAATTAGAAAATAAATGAAAAAATAAAATATATAAGGAAACAAGCAAAACTCAATCCCAGAAGACCATAATTTTAATACCACTTTTTGAACCTCACATCTCATACAGGATCAGCATGTAATGCGTGTATCTCTATGTGAGAAAGGACACAATTTATAAAACATTGTGTTTTTGAATTGGTATGTTAATGAGGTTTTTTTTTTTGGCTGGCCATCAGCCAAGAATGTAATAACACTTTTCTGTAAGGTTCATTAAAAACTGGCAAAGTATTTTGGGGTTATTAAATACAAATCTGTGTTACTTTTCCCTTGTTACTTATTTCTGTTTCTAACATTGGGACAGTAAATGGTGACAGTGAGTTAGTTTAGTTCTTTTGACTGTCACTGTTTGTGTTTGTATGTGATTTCTTGTAATGAACTCAGTTGTAAAGCGGAACATGTATTCTTCACCATCATTGGATATGGTTACTTTTCCAACATACTAATTCAGTTAATCTAGATATTCACTGTGCAGCATGAGGAGTCGGTGTAGGTACTAGGCTATGGGCTGGACAGGGATGTATGGTTTGATTATCAGCAGGGGTAAGAGATTTTTCTCTTTTCTGCAGCATCACATTGACTCTGGCCCACACCCAGCCTCTTGCTCAGTGGGGACTGAGGTTAAGGCAGATGGGGCATAAAGTGCTATCTAGTGCCAAGATTAAAAATGGCTGAATCTATTTTTTCACTAACTCCCCCATACATCTTCATCAAGGCATGGTGCTTAATTAAGAACAGGGACAACTTTACAATTACTGTGCAGTGTGAGAATGAGTTGGACCTATCAAAAGTACTTTCCATCTTCAAGAACAAATTCATGCTAACTGCAGTAATTATAAATGTTGTGGTTGTTAGCGTGGCTTATGTTTACAGATTTGGTTCTTCCAACATCCTGTCTGTTTGGAAAGGGTAGAAGGAATCAATATATTAGATAGAATTTTCCAATTTGCTGCCAGTGGTAAGATGGAGGTGAAGATGAAGATGAAGGAACATGAAGCTAAGCATTGGTTCTGTACCAAGGTGGGGGTCTTTTATGTGTGTCTCATGTTCATAAAGATTTGACTTTGCCTGAGGTGAGAGGAAGGAAAAAATGGGTAACAATTTACTATTAAAAGGAAAAAATCTTCTCATCCATTACACTTTATGTTAGGGCTAGGAATATGTACAGTTTGTTTAAAAACTCATACACATATTAGAACAAGTAACATTAACCACTGAGCAGGATTTATTTTGAACTTGGGGATGTATAAATTTAATGTAAATAGTATAAAGATTTTATATTCTTACATCACCTGTTTTCAATTACTTTTTCATTCTGAATTTTGCTTCCATGATTGTGCAATATAGGGCATAAATCTATTGCCCAAGATCAGATCCCAGTTAAAAGAAGGAGGGAGGACCAAGAGGAACAATTTCTCCCCATGAACTTATTATCCCCTAGATATGGTTCAGTTTTGTCATTAGAAGTACACTCTGCATTCAGAGGTTTCATCTTGGGAAAATGAATTTATTTTATCCAAAGGAAAAAACTAGTATCCACTGTGCTGAGTTTTTACACTTTGGAATGAAAGCCAATAAAATATAGCAAGTTATTTTGATTCTTTAGCATTCCACATGTTAAAACATAGTGACAATGGTGTTTAATCCTTTTATAACGCCACTTGTACTTTATCAAAAAGAAGTGGGTTTTAATGATCTTCAAAAGAGCTGTACCTTATGGTTATCAGATATAATTTTCTTTATATATTGTAAGATAAGGTGATAATTCAATGATTCAATGAACATATGCCATTCATATGCTAGATTGCTCATTGATAAAGCTTCTGTTACAATGCTGTTCACTAAGTGACAGAATAATGCACATTCATTGTACATTGTATGGTCTGAATACTATGAACATAATTTCTTTTAATCATTGTGTAATAAACATCTATGTATATAGTCCATCAATAATGTAACAATCATTAGAATATTCACCATTTAACACCAACACGACATATTTTGGCGACAGACGGCCATCGTCGGGCGTTTCAATACGTCTTAAACTGTTACACTCCTCTAATGCGTGCTAAAATTGTGCGTTGCAGTACACTTAAATTAAAATCTTTCGTAAAATCTTATTCTACCTCTTAAGGGGCATCATCCACTTGTTTAAAGCTATGTGATGCGTGTATTCCAGAGAATTTGTTTCAGCAGCAGATCACAGATGTAGCTGCTAAACAAACTGTCTGGAATACATGCATCACATAGCTTTAAACAAGTGGACGATGCCCCTTACAAATGGTGAATATTTTAATGATTGTTGCATTTTTGACAGACTAAATATATGCAACAGGAAGCTGAAATACAGAATAACTTGTGTAGTAATGTTAATCATAACAATATCACCAGTGCTTGAGGTGGAATGAAAATAGAACCGGGATGGTTTTCCTCTTTTAACAAAAAAGGTATTGTACATTGCATTTACTTACTGCTTTTAAGCCATTTATAAAAGAACCGGGATGCCATCCTGCCACATCCCGCCCCACCTCAAGTCCTGAATATCACACATAAAACAGAGAGTGTAAGTATTGATAATGTAGGGACTATTTTGCTGCCCCCAGAATGAGATGAGAAATTGGTGGTCAGAATGTTACATCAGCCCCCTTAAAATTTAAGAATTTTGTAATATATAATACTGTAACTCATTGTCAGAGTGACCATCTCTTTCATGTTGAATTATCCTTTGAAATTTTAGTGTGAATACTTATCTTCCCTCTTGCAAATTTTTTATTTTATGAGAAAACAGTGATCATTTGATTTGATCATAACTGTCTCTGAAATGGAAAGTTTTCGGAACCAATAATTCAATGATACACCCAAAGACCACTATTACAGAACATTCATTAAGAAAGGAATGATAATATGCTTCTTTTAGTATAAGTACATATTGTCATGTGTAGGGGTTACTATAGATGTGGTTTGGATCAGTAAATAGGATTTATTGACCACTTATATGCATGACTCAGAACTACAAGCAGTTACAGTGCCACCACTAGTCTCCACAATTCACAAATCACAACAGCACCCGCTTAGCTGTTTTCCAGCCTGCTGTATCTTCACCAGCCCTTCCCTGGCAACGACTTCTGACAGTGGAGATTCATCAGCTTCACGCACTCAGGTCCTATCTTCACAGCCTCCTGTACAGAACTCGACTGTCCTGGTTATAACTTCTCAGCACGGACCACATATAAAACACTGTTCTTCTGTTGTTGTACTTGTCTGTATTGCGACGTGGATGTGCATACTGAGCTGTTGCATAGAAATGTGCATGGCGTGGACTGCAGAAAACTGTTCTTCTATTGTTGCATGCACGTATGTTGTGGGCGTTACCTAGCAACTATCCCTGTTTACAGAGTCACCGATTGGCAATGGGTCTCTATGCCACAGTATGAAACTACAGAACAATGTAGCAAAGTTCTGAGCCACCCGATAAAATTTGAAACCAGTTTGGAACACTTCTGTTCATGTTACTGCCTGGAAGTTTATTGCTTATGATGGTGTTGGAAGGTATGTGCTTAAACCTTCTATAAGGAAGGAAAGTACATATATGATACTGGTATATAATAAAACTAAATTAGGTAAGCAGTGTAACAATGTCGAATTGTGTGGGCAATAGAGGCTTATACTTCATAGAAATAAAGGTCACATTTTACATTAATTATTAATCCATTATAAATCAATATGACTTAACAAGATATGTAAAGCATGTAGTCTAATTTTTGTCTAAGATCATTTATTTTTGAACTTGTTCCACATTGTATGCATTTCCTATCCTTGTTCTATAGCACTGTGCAAAAATATATATATTTTTTCATTTTAAACTCCAAGGAAGGTTGTCACTGTACTCATGGAATTAAGGAATATGGAGTGTGCTGGAGTAATCGAGGGTTTTATTACCTTCTCGTTTTAGAGTTAGAACTTTAAAAAGGTTCTAAGCAGCACCATTGGTTATTCACGATGACAACAGGCCTACATATCTGTAAATCATTTCACTTTAGAAACAGTGGCATAAAAATCGTTTAAAACAACTAGTACATTCTGCAATCTCGTTTCCTGCACTTAACAACACCAGCATATTTGATAATTATCGAATTATAATCTTCTCAAGAGAATAATATATCTGGGGAATGTATTTTGACTACTGGCTGTCATTTTATTAAATGGAAGAAATGCCTTAGTTTACAATATAGTGTCACTGTTCATTCAGCGGTAAGTATATATCAATAAAATAAATACTGAAATGGAATATTTACAGGTAATATTAATCCCAGCACGTCTTCAAGTTCCATGACCTGGACAAAGAGCCCAAGATTATTTTGAGATGTTTCCATCATTCCAGTATAAAATCTTGTTTCCATTATAACACATAAGACACACTAACTATACATACTTCAGTTTGTTTCCAAGTATATTTGAATAGCGTTTTATCCAAAATCTTTTTTGTTAAAATACTGTTTAGGATGCTACATAATAGCACAACATCCTTTGGATTTCTCTTTGTTTTCAGTCTTTTTTCCTTTGACACGGTCTTCCATTCTCAGTTCACCTATCTTTAACTTTTTCAGAATTTGAAGAGCATTATCCGAATGTCCAAAGTCATCAAATTCGGCTGTCAGATCACCTCCAGCTGCATCCAGAAGCTGTTCACCACCACCTGGATGTTCATCAATGTAGTGTGTAATGTCGTATACCCCATTCTTGTATATGCACCAGACAGATTCAGCAGTGTTATGTTCTTTGATCTCCTCTAAGCTGTACTGCTTCACTTCATCACTCATGTTGATTTTCTAACTAGAATTCCTTTCACTTCTGTCGCGTTGAAGTCGTAGTAGCCGACTGCTTTGAACTTGGTAGCTACTTCGAAGTTTTATCTGGCTTATCTGTGTTAATCCGAACTCAGGTTGATAAACATCTTCGAGGAGAGAGGTGAAGTGTTTTTTTAATTACATATTGAAAAAATATTGCTATAGTATTTGTTTCTTCCCTTCTGTAAGAAGTTAGTGATAGCTCTGAAGTATGACTGTTGTGGCCCGCTACCCCAGATATTTCCTGAATACAATAAGTTTAAAATTTATGAAATTTGACGCCGACAGTGTGATCTTATAAGAACTCCGTGGCCTTTAGTCCGTAAGCGAACTATACCGACAGAGCGACCGCCGCTTTTCAGTGAAGTTAGTGCGAACTTTTGCGGATAGAGGATGTCACATGGTCAGTGCGATTCCCCACGGCCGTTAATCTCGGTTTTCTAGACCGAAGACGCTATTTCCTTGAAATATCTCCTCAGTTATCCTCACGAGGCTGATTGGACCCCGTTCCAGACCCACTACTCAGAAAATCCAGTAGCGCCGGGAATCGAAGAAGGGACTTCCGGATATGTAACCAGGAACTCTGACCACTAGACCACAGAGGCGGTCGATCTTATAAGAAGAATTACTTTACTAAAAAGCCTTGATTCTGAATATTTTATTATTACGGGCTAACAATGTTAACAGAATATGCACTATGAAATTTTACTCAGATTTCTCAGTAAGTTATGAACTAATAACATACTAGCCAATTAGAACCTCTAGTTGAGGATATAGATGCAACTTTTTTGTCAAATGCACAAGCCAAAAATTAGAGCGAAAACAAAAATGTAATAAAATGAGACCTATACTTTATTTCTGTGCGTTCCCTGCTTCATTCAGCGCTTCTTTCTTTGTTAGTTGTGTTTATTCACGAATACTGCTGAGTTAAGCATCCTTCACCTGTCGTTTGTTCTTTCATAAGTTTTATACTCGTACTGTAGCACTTTGTGTCAGGCGATAAGGAGAAGCGATTAAATAGCACTAGTACTAGAAATGAGCTTAATATCAAGAACTGCGAAACAGTTAAGTTCTTGACATAATACACCATTCCCCTGCTGTGAATAAAACGTTGCCTTTCAAATAAATTCGTTAAGAAAAAATTTAAATCATCTCAGATACTTCGAGAGAGGAGTTGGCGAAGGCTTGCGCTTGCAAACCTCCTGTCTTCTTTCTAAAAATAACCACAATGATTTTAATGTCTTCAGAAGATCTGTGCACTAAAAATAGTACATTCGTTTCTGGTAAATATGATAATTTGGAATAGGCATATAATTTCCATCATGATATTGCTACATTTGATTATAATAATGATTGTTCTTTGTTTCTATAACGGCGCTTTTCTGTTGTCTAGAATATGAAGAGTCAAATGCATGAATTATTTGTAAGAAAGGAAAAAGGAAGCGGCCATGGTCTATTTTAAGGTAGGCCTCCTATCCCGGCATTTTGTCTGGAGAGACCGCTGAAAAATCACCGAGAATCTCAGTAATATTTCCTGAATACGAGATTGAAATTTTGAATGAGCGGCTTCCGGTGTCTTGCACAGATACTGAAGGCAGTAATTGTAAATTTCAGGTTAAAACACCACAAAAATAGTGCATTTCGTAATAATTACCTTCACCAAAAAGACCAGAGCCTGACGTAAGTTGTGGTAAAGCATAAATGTCGCAAGTTGGGGATCGGACCAGATCTGACTTTAGGATGAAGCTAGAAACGGCTTTATGTGAGTTCTTCTTCTATCCGGATCTTAATTTTATTAGAGATGTGCCTCATCTAAGAAGCCGAAAATATCCAATGAAGTTACTGCAATAGTCCTCATAATTTCCCGACGAGTGTTGAAAGAAGAGTTCAAATACTCCGCAACTGCCATATATCAAATGCTTCCTTACTCACTATTCGTCATCATCCTCCCATTTGAGTTCAGCGTTAGGTAACGTCAGCATTTGAAGCAACAGGATCAAATAATAATACTGACGGTGACAAAAAGAGGAACAAATATGTTGGAAACTGGCGCCTGAAACTTCTCTTACCAACCAAACAAATCTGTTGAATGGGCTATCGAACTGTCAGGTTCAGGTGCTTGATCAGTAGTGTAATCTGTCGGTGATCCTACGTACCCGAACTATTTCCCTCGATTCCTGTGAGCAATATTAATCGAGTATACGCTTACTGTAATCGATTCCACAGCAAGCAGCGAGAGTAACATGGTAGAATGGAGATAGTTGTGGTTAGTTGTGTGCGTTGTGTGTGCTTTTGTCAATGTTGTGTACGACATTGATGAATGCGGTAGTGATTTTTGAGAGCTCCAACTTTCAGTATCGTTTGTTTTCGCGTAATTATGTCAACTAAGTATGAGTCAACCAATAACATTACAAGCAGTGAAGATCTTGTACCAGAGAAATCCAAATTTCGAACGCCCACTTTTATATACGTGTTGACATTTCTGAGCACAATTGGAGGCTTTTTGTTTGGCTATGATACGGGTGTGGTTTCGGGTGCTATGCTCATCATTAGGTGAGTTTATAGGATTATAATTAACATTTAGGTGTATTTTTTTTTATTTTTGAAGTGCGCATTAAACTGACCGCCCAACTTGAACAGATGCCATGCAATGTGCGTGATGGGGACAAGTATTCAAAAATTATAAAATCACATTCGAGACGTGTCAACATGAAGTTAAAAACAATTTCATACGTTTTCAATAACCCTTTAAAGCACAGTGGTACAGTATGGAAAATGTTCTTTAACATTAAACAACTCGATACTTTCCTCACAGCGTGCATGTAATATGGGGTTTCATATGATTACGGAATAGCAAGTTGGCCTGTCTAATGGAGACGCATTGTTTTTTCTCTGTCTGTTGTGAGAAATGGATATTTAGATGAACTGATTGTATCATATAGTTCAGATAGCCAAAATAAAGGTAGAATTACCAAAAACATAACTTATCATTGGTCAAAAGCTGTCACTCCATCCTAGGTAATTGAATGACCCATTGAAAGTTGTCGGATTACTGGTATGGCTGTGATTTACTTGATAATTTATTGTGTTTTAGTCTAACTGCATTCTGCATGACGAAATGTATAAAATATTTTGATTGTGTGATTAAGTAAGAGAGCGAAACTGACATATACCTCTTCCCCTATCATTCACCAATTAGTACCATCCCATATCGAAACTGGTTCCACGCTATTCTCCAGTCGCGAATACACGGACTGTACTGTGTTGTCTGAAAAATTAATGTACTGCTTTGAGACAGATAATTAATGATAGAGGCACTGTATGGTGAATTAGTTGGAAGCACCTGTAGAAATATTTTGCTGGGATGATAAGTCTTTTCTGCCTCGTCTGCATTCTACTTTCCATAGTCGGATTTCATTCAGATATTTCTGGAAATGAATTTCTGTAAGTTTTATAGATTCTTCTGCCCTTTCATTGCCGTATATCGGCTTAAGGTTCGTTTCAGATAACGGAAATTAGTCCGCAAGTTTGTTTATTTCTTTTACGGATCGAAGGACGGATTTAAAATATTTAAATTATTTAAATCGGAGCAGAATTCCCAAAATTATATACATTTCTTTTAGACTGATGTAACAGTTTCATCTTGTTTAATGAAAACTCCACATCCAGCAAATACGAGATTCATTGAAAACTGCGGCGGAGTTATTGAAATCAGCCGCGCCATAGCTCAAGCGCTTAGTCGCTGGCTTCCCACCGCGGCGGCCCGGGTTAGAGCCCGGGTCTGGTCAAGTGGGATTTGTGGTGGACAAAGTTGCGCTGGGGCAGGTTTTCTCTGAGTACTTCGGTTTCCCCTGCCAATCTTCATTCCACCAATTGCTCCACAATCACCCTCACCTGTCATCTGGGGCTGGTACAATAGGCCAGAAGTGGCCGCAGTACAAGGGACTTACTCCCACCCCACTAGCATTAAAACATTATTAAAATCGGGCAATCCTCATCACGGTTGAGGTGTCTCCAGTCATGCTAAATATTTTGGAGATCCCGGGTTCGAATATAATCCCAGATATCTTGATTTGGATTTCTGTGACTCTTCACAGTTCACCCAGTCAAGTGTTGGATAAAGATAAAGGTAAATTTATCCCTGTAACAGGCCGTGGAGACCAATATGGTTGTGAGACGTCGAGGCTGCCACATTTTCCAGACTTTCGACTCACAGATGGCGGTAAGGTTGTCAGCCTCACGCGCCGACCGTCCTTTACCCTCAGGAAGATTCCTGGTACTGGAAAAGTTAGGTTAATTGGAAAATCCAGTGATCTCATCGGGAATCGAACCCGCGACATTCCAGCTTGTAGCATAGTGCCTCAAGCAACTACGGTACCACGTGCCTCACAGGCAATTGATTGGATTTTATCAGAATACAGAATACGTCAACTTTCTTCCACGGCCTTTCCAATTCACAAATCATCTTGCTATTGGACGCTCCACAACCTATGCACTGTGAAAGGTGTATCAAACAAATTGGTCTTTTGAAAGCGAGTAAACACGCAAGAACGCAGCACGAATGCTCGATCCGATGGAAGGGCCGTATTTGCCTGTTTATGCAAGAGTTTAAAGGGGAAGCCTCATATTTGCGATTATTCTTCTCAGAGAGTGAGCAGTCTTATTAAAACGTGAAACCTTTACTTATTTCTGCTAGATCGTACTGAAGAAGAAATCTCCATTTGAGAATGCACATTAGAAGCTCAGAAATAAATAAGAAATAGTGGCGTGTTTGTCCGACTTTAAGCCGTGGATTTCGTATTAATCCGGAAGCGTCTTTGGGTGATTGCGACATCTCCATTAGGGGGCGCCCCAAGGCTGTGGAAAATGAGCGTTAAAATGGACAGTTTCGAAGAAGATAGCCCCAGAGCTGTTGGATCCCCATTTGTATTACAAGTTGAACGAAAATAACGCCACGGAAAAATATAAATGTTAACGAAAGAATCAGCTAGTGTAGCTGTTGGTACTGTGCCCTATACACTAAGGGATTGTAGGTGTAGTGGAAGTAATGTTTTCATGCAGAACTGGTTGAGAGTTCCCTGTAAATTTGAATTTCTGGCAAAGGTTTATGTTTACGGAAAGCAGTTTCCTTTTTACCATTGCATATAGATGAACTAACAACACAAGTCAAGGGCATCGTTTGCTATGCATTGCTGACATCGGCAATAGCGTGTATTTTTCGTGCTATCAAAGCTACGCTGTATCAGAGAAGTGAGAAGCGTAAGGCTTGCAGTCAGTAACTTTGACTTCAGAAGCTTTAAGGCATATGAAATCTTCATCAGCCATTGTAACCGGCAAAAAAAAAAGTTTCATAGTCGACTTGAAATTAAAATAGGAACAGTAGCGGCTCCGGTCTAGAAAACCGAGATTAACGGCCGTTGGGATTCGTTGCGCTGACCACGCGATACTCTCTCTCCGCAAAAGTTGGCACTAACTTGGTAGACAAGCGGCGGTCGCTCGGTCGGTATAATTCTCTTGCGGACTACAGGCCACGGAGTTACAAGTTGGAAGCGGTCTATTGACAAAACCTGGTCTGTTTATCCTTAGGCATTACACACAATACGCTACCGTGTCATTTACAAACTTGAATGGTAAATCCTGTTACGCAAATGCGATATTCACAATGATTACTAAGTTATGAAACCTTGGATCGATTACTTCTTTGACTATGACTAGATCTTCCTTGAACTCAGCCTTTAAACGGTTGGTGAACGTTTGCTGCATGGCAGTAAGTCCACGGAGCAAGCCGTACGAAAGGAGCTAGGGTTACCGTTCACTGAGCAGGGTGCTTCGAAGTTGTGATTAATTTGATAAGTTGACATTTTGAAGTAAATAACGTTACTACTACACATGCACTGAATTATAAACAACCCCATATAGCAACTGAGAATATGCTAAGGCTCAAAAGTAACATCTGCTGAATTAAATTTCAACTACCATAGACAAACTGAGATCTGAAATGGAAGGTTGTAACCGGTGCTACGCAACGTCGAAAGAGTCGATGAGGAGCGAGTGGATTGCTGAAGTATGACAAACGTAGTTACCCTTACAACTGCGGACTGTGGGTTGTAACCGGGGCTACGCAACGTCGAAAGAGTCGATGAGGAGCGAGTGGATTGCTGAAGTACGACAGACGTAGTTACCCTTACAACTGCGGACTGTGGGTTGTAACCGGGGCTACGCAACGTCGAAAGAGTCGATGAGGAGCGAGTGGATTGCTGAAGTACGACAGACGTAGTTACCCTTACAACTGCGGACTGTGGGTTGTAACCGGGGCTACGCAACGTCGAAAGAGTCGATGAGGAGCGAGTGGATTGCTGAAGTACGACAGACGTAGTTACCCTTACAACTGCGGACTGTGGGTTGTAACCGGGGCTACGCAACGTCGAAAGAGTCGATGAGGAGCGAGTGGATTGCTGAAGTACGACAGACGTAGTTACCCTTACAACTGCGGACTGTGGGTTGTAACCGGGGCTACGCAACGTCGAAAGAGTCGATGAGGAGCGAGTGGATTGCTGAAGTACGACAGACGTAGTTACCCTTACAACTGCGGACTGTGGGTTGTAACCGGGGCTACGCAACGTCGAAAGAGTCGATGAGGAGCGAGTGGATTGCTGAAGTACGACAGACGTAGTTACCCTTACAACTGCGGACTGTGGGTTGTAACCGGGGCTACGCAACGTCGAAAGAGTCGATGAGGAGCGAGTGGATTGCTGAAGTACGACAGACGTAGTTACCCTTACAACTGCGGACTGTGGGTTGTAACCGGGGCTACGCAACGTCGAAAGAGTCGATGAGGAGCGAGTGGATTGCTGAAGTACGACAGACGTAGTTACCCTTACAACTGCGGACTGTGGGTTGTAACCGGGGCTACGCAACGTCGAAAGAGTCGATGAGGAGCGAGTGGATTGCTGAAGTACGACAGACGTAGTTACCCTTACAACTGCGGACTGTGGGTTGTAACCGGGGCTACGCAACGTCGAAAGAGTCGATGAGGAGCGAGTGGATTGCTGAAGTACGACAGACGTAGTTACCCTTACAACTGCGGACTGTGGGTTGTAACCGGGGCTACGCAACGTCGAAAGAGTCGATGAGGAGCGAGTGGATTGCTGAAGTACGACAGACGTAGTTACCCTTACAACTGCGGACTGTGGGTTGTAACCGGGGCTACGCAACGTCGAAAGAGTCGATGAGGAGCGAGTGGATTGCTGAAGTACGACAGACGTAGTTACCCTTACAACTGCGGACTGTGGGTTGTAACCGGGGCTACGCAACGTCGAAAGAGTCGATGAGGAGCGAGTGGATTGCTGAAGTACGACAGACGTAGTTACCCTTACAACTGCGGACTGTGGGTTGTAACCGGGGCTACGCAACGTCGAAAGAGTCGATGAGGAGCGAGTGGATTGCTGAAGTACGACAGACGTAGTTACCCTTACAACTGCGGACTGTGGGTTGTAACCGGGGCTACGCAACGTCGAAAGAGTTGATGAGCGAGTGGATTGCTGAAGTACAAC